GTAGAGCTTTTTTGTAAGCGTCTTCAGTAAACCTTCGAAATTTTCCTTTATTTCCCTCCACTCCACAAATAATACACAGCCCAATGAGTTTCTTCTGTAGGTGTGCATTCGGAAGTTCCATTGTTTTTAAAGATCGTTTAAAATTGCCTGTTCTAAACTTGCGGGATTAGTAGGATTACTTTTGTCAGAATACTGAAACAGGTGTTTAAGAATGCATAGAATGGGTTTGTTTGGTTTTTGTGATGGAAAATTTGGTTAGTTTAAACTGTATAAAAAGTCCTCCAGGATGTTACACATTTGAATTCTAGCCAATCATATAAATGTCCGGGATGCTAGTAGCCATATAACTACCCACAAGTAGATGAGTAAGCTGTGACTGAACTGAAATATCCAGAGAGACTAAACAGCCCACAAGTGCCAGAGAAACGGCAACTTTCTCCTCTTCGTCATCAAATAGGTATTGTATTTGTTGTGTTGGTTGATGTCCTCCTAATAATTTGCATTTGGCAAATTCTATTACCTCCGTAATAGGTTTCCCTGCACAAATACTCGATGCCCACAATGGCCTACCAAACAGTAAGCGGTGATTTGGATGATCTGCCACCTTATTGTTAAGAGCATCCAGCATCATAATGTCAATATATGGTGGAAGCAGCTTGACTCTTTCATCACGAATTCTCTCAGAGTTGGAGCGTTTGTATGGAGGGGAAAAATTAGCCAGCTTTCCCATTGTATCAAGCATGGCACATAGAAATCCATACTGAGCCCATTGAATGTCCTTAAGAGAGCAACAAATCAGTCTGAATGGTGATAGTTCAGTTCCATGCTCCACATCGAGTAATTTTCGTGCTTCATCAAAACAGAGGAAGAGGTTTAGACCATGAATTGATTCAACTTGGTAGGGAATATCATTAGGCATGTGGCTGACTTCAGAATCAGAATTCGCTTTCTCAAGCACTTTAACCCAAAATGCCTTTTCGTCAGCTGGATCCATTTGCATTTCCCACAGTTGAGCCGGTCCTCGAAAGCTCTTCAACAAGCACAGTAACAGATGCCTTCAGAAATTTCTGAAACCAATGAATAGCTGTGAACGGCGATTTTGTAAAACGGCGATTTGATCATGTGATCGCTGCGGTACTGAGATAGAGTGATGATCAT